AATTTCTCGACCGAATCTCTGATTTACCCAACAAATTCCACTTAACTGAACATAAGACACTTAATAAAGGCCAAAGAAACAATAACCGTTCAGGGCTTGTCGGAACAAAACGGACGTAATGGGGTCTTGCCTTAAATATGACCTTAACCGAATTTAGCATGAACTTCCTTACAATTTTTGAAAATTACTCGAACAATTAACCTTAATACGACCTTACTAACATGAATATAAGCTGAGAATAACGATACCTTCTTAGATGCTCATCGGAATTTATACACCGATCGCGACCTCCGATAGTACTCGCGTGCGCCCGTGTGTCCTTGCCGTGCGTTTGTTTGCTAATTACCGTGCGATGAAGAGTGTATAAAGCTTAAGATGACAAGCTGAGTTACTTGCTGATATTTAAGGGTAATCTTCTGAGTACGACTTATAGGGAAATGGGGGAAAAAATTCAATCAACTCGTGCTTATATATGTAGTGGCCGTGGGATGGTGATGACGTGAAGGATGCGTGGCCTTCTCTTTAAGCTTACACTTGCTTCTTTTTAAACTATGTCGGGATGACTAATCTCCCAAATTATCCCCTCATAAAGACACGTGTGAAATTAATTCAAGAGGAGGAAATTTATTTCCTTCAAGCTTAGGAAACTTAGCAAGAGTTGGGCATTAAACATTTCCATACGGCTTTCACATAAATTTGGAGATTTTTGGACGGCCTACTCCTTATTAATGTGATTAATTTGCATTTAATCACTTCCTTTATGTTTAATTATTTAATTAAACATAATGCTTAATTACCAAAATTATTCCGAACGTAAACGGTACGTCGAAAAGAAATTTCGGTAATCCCGACTGAAAATAATTAATTCCGGAAATACTAAACGTTAACATTATAATATCGGAATTAAAATATAATTTATACCGATAAAATATCGGGATATTACAATCCTCCCTCCTTACAAAATTTCCGTCCTCGGAAATTCAAAACATAACTGACATACATGAACTATGTACATAGGATAAAGAAATATGTACATCAGAACTGAAAATCTAGGAAACGAGCGCGACTATCGGACTCCTCCTCCCAAGTAGCTCCGTGGCGATCCCACTGAATACGCACGAGGGGAATATCTCGCTTCCGGAGCCGACAAACCTGACGGTCTAGTACAGCTACCGGTCGCTCCTCGTACGATAGATCTGGCTGAACCTGAATATCCGTGAGAGGAATGACATGATCGGGGTCGCACACGTACTTACGCAACATCGATGCGTGGAAAACATTATGAATGCCTGATAACTCGGGAGGTAGGGCTAATCGATACGCAACCTCGCCTACTCGCTCGAGAACCTCGAACGGACCGATGAAACGAGGGTGCAGCTTCTCTCTCTTTCCGAATCGCACGACTCTGCGAATCGAACGAACTCTGAGAAATGCTGGCTCGCCAACCTCGAACTGAATGTCTCGTCGATGATGATCGGCGGAAGATTTCTGTCGACTCTGAGCTGTCCTGAGTCTCTGCCGGATCAACTCGACCTGCTCCGCTGTCTCTTCGATCATCTTAGGACCGAGTACTCGTCGCTCTCCAACGTCGTCCCAATAGAGAGGGGAACGACACTTGCGACCATAAAGTGCCTCGTAAGGAGCCATCTGAATGGAAGAATGATAGCTGTTGTTATGCGCGAACTCGGCGTATGGCAACAGTGACTCCCACTTAGCACCCCTGTCAACAACCAAAGCACGAAGCATATCCTCAAGTGTCTGAATAGTCCTCTCTGACTGACCGTCCGTCTCCGGATGGTAGGCTGAACTAACTCTAGCTTCGTGCCCATCGCCTCATGTAAACTGTGCCAGAACCGACTGACGAATCAGGGATCTCTGTCTGATACGATCGTAATGGGCACTCCGTGGAGTCGAATGATCCCACGGGTATATATCTCAGCCAACTTTTCCTGAGACATCTTCATCGAAACGGGTAAGAAATGCGCAACCTTAGTCAATCTGTCGACCACGACCCAGATAGCGTCGTGATGTTCAGACGACCTCGGTAATCCCGTAACGAAATCCATAGTGACTTCCTCCCACTTCCTCCTCAGAATCGGTAGGGGCTGCAGGAGGACGATCGGACTCTGATGTTCGGCTTTGACTTGTTGACAGGTAAAACATCTCCTGACGAACTCGGCGACGTCCTTCTTCATGCCTCGCCACCAGAACGACCCTTTCAGATCGTGATACATCTTCGTGCTCCTGGGATGGGCCAAATAGGGTGCGGTATGTGCCTCTGATAAATCTCCTTCCGCAACGCCTCGACCTTCGGGACCACGATCCTGCCTCTGAACTCTAGGGCACCATCGGCACCTAACTGAAAATCCTCGACACCTCCGGCGTGAACCTTGGCCTCTATGACACGCACAAACTCGTCAGAAGCCTGCTCTCGCCGGATTCTCTCTCTCAGCGTCGGCTGAAGCTGCATAGCACTAATACTGGCACTGGTACTCCCCAAAACGGCTGTGGGAAGTGCATCGATCGCCTGAAGCTGCATCCGGGCAAACTCATGAATCAACGGACTCTGCTGCGTAATAACATATGTCAAGTCACCCTTCACCTTTCGGCTTAGGGCATCCGCGACGACATTCGCCTTTCCCGGATGATACTGAATAGAGCAGTCGTAATCCTTGACAAGTTCGAGCCAACGGCGCTGTCTCATGTTAAGCTCCTTCTGCGTGAAAATATACTGCAGGCTCTTATGGTCTGTGAAAATCTCGCAACGTCTGCCGTAAAGATAATGTCGCCAGATCTTGAGAGCATGAACGACTGCTGCTAACTCCAAGTCGTGCGTCGGATAGTTCTGCTCATGAGGCTTAAGCTGACGTGAAGCAAACGCAACGACCTGGCCGTCCTGCATAAGGACACATCCCAAGCCCTGTCTCGAAGCATCGCTGAAGATAGTGAAACTCCGAGAAGGGTCGGGAATAGTCAACACCGGTGCTTAAGTTAACCTCCTCTTGAGCTCCTGAAAGCTCGCCTCACAACGATCAGTCCACTCGAACTTCACAGACTTCCTCGTTAGCTGGGATAGAGGGAGGGCGATCTTGGAAAAGACCTCGATGAACCTGCGATAGTAACCAGCTAAACCGAGAAAACTACGAACCTCGGACGGACTCCTCGGTGTCGACCAGTTCTGAACGGCTGAGACCTTGGAAGGATCCACCTTGATACCTGCCTGAGTAATCACATGACCCAGAAAGGATACTCGCTGGAGCCAGAACTCGCATTTGGAGAATTTGGCGTACAACTTTTCTCGTCTGAGGGTTTCGAGAACCACCCTCAGATGCTCCTCGTGCTCCTTCTGGCTCTTCGAGTAGACAAGAATATCGTCAATAAAGACAATAACGAACTGATCGAGGTAGGGATGGAAAATCCGGTTCATGAGATCCATGAAAACAGCTGGCGCATTGTTGAGACCGAATGGCATGACGACGAACTCGTAATGGCCGTAACGAGTCCTAAAAGCGGTCTTAGCGATATCTGACTCCTTAATCTTCAGCTGGTGGTAGCCTGATCGTAAATCAATCTTTGAAAATACACAGGCTCCCCTCAACTGATCAAATAAGTCATCGATCCTGGGAAGCGGGTACTTGTTCTTGATCGTCAACCGGTTAAGATCCCGGTAGTCGATACACATGCGCATGGATCCGTCCTTCTTCTTAACAAAGAGAACGGGTGCTCCCCATGGTGACACGCTCGGTCGGATGAAACCGAGTCGTAGCTCCTGAATCTGAGTCTTAAGCTCCTGCAACTCCTTAGGCGCCATACGATACGGGGCTTTAGATACTGGACCGACCCCTGGAATAAGATCGATAGAAAACTCCACCTGACGGTTGGGCGGTCCTCCTGGAAGCTCGTCTGGGAACACGTCCACAAACTCGCGAACGATTGGAACATCATGAGGTGTTCGCGCTTTCTGAGAATCATCGACAAGGCTCACCAGATAACCCTGGCAGTTGCCTCGTCGCAGTAACTTAGTGGCTTTCGCCATCGAAACAACATGAGGCAGTGAACGATTCCTGGAACCGAAAAAAGTAATCGACTCATCTCCCGGAAGATAGAGAGTGATCTCCCGATCATGACATCTGATGTCTGCATGATAGAAGGATAGCCAATCCATTCCGAGAATAAGGTCGAAGTCTCTGATCTAGAGAACAAACGCGTCGGCAGTCAATACTCGGCCACCGATGGAAAGGCTAAGATCTGAGGCTTTAGCTGAGGTCACTATCTTTCGTCCCGAGGCTAAACTCACCTCGAGAGGATCGACAGCGGTAACGGCGTGAACTCCGATGGCATCAAGACATCGTCGTGAAATGAAAGTATGTGTCGCTCCAGTATCGAATAAAGCAAACACAGGAATATCATACCATCCCTGACATAGTACCTGGCTGCTGTGCTGCCTCTGCCTGATCGACCGCGTAAACCCTGGCCTGCTACCTGCCCCTCTGCTACTGCTGGTGCTGAGGTGGTCTCTGTGCCTGCTGACGTGGCTGCTGCTGCTGTGGTGGCTGCTGAGACTGCTGAGGCTGCTGCTGGAGTCTCTTCGGACAGCGACTCGCAAAATGTACCGGCTCGTGGCAGTAATAACAGATATCCTGTCCCACGTGGCACTCTCCTCGATGAAGTCATCCGCAAGTCGGGCACGGTGGAACCTACTGCTGTCTCTGTCGGGTCCTCCGGTCAGTCTGTGCACCCTTCCCCTTCCTCTTCTTCTCCTTTGCCAGCTGAGGGGCTGGTAGGGCTGGTGGAGCTGCAAATGGCTGAACTGGGGCTGATGGCTGAGCACGATCACGAACTGCCTCCCTCCTGATGCTAGCGTCCACCTCCTGGGCGATAGAAACGGCACGAGCGTAGGTCTGAGTCCCGTGTCCCACGATGTTTTGACGGACTGCTGGATAAAGCCCGTCGATGAACCGCTGCGCTCTCTGAGCCTCCGTGCGAACCAGATCCGGTACGAAAGCTGCAAGTCTAGTGAACTCTCGCTCGTACTCATCAACTGTACTAGTGCCCTGCTGAAGCGCTAAGAACTGACGCTCCATCTCTGCCCGATAGTAGGAAGGGTAGTACTTTTCGTGGACTAGATCCTTGAACATGTTCCAAGTACAACCCGCTTTTTCACCGGGACGCATGCTCCAGTAGGCATTCCACCAGAGCCTTGCATCACCAGTGAGCTGAAGCTGAGCGCAAACTACGCGATATCTATCAAGGCAGTCCATGACCTCAAAGATAAACTCTAAGCCCTGAATCCATTCATCAACGATGCGGGGATCTCCTTGTCCTGAGAACTTTTCAGCGTGATAGTCGCGAAACTGGGCGACTACCGTAGCCTGAGTAGGAGCCTGATGATCGGGTTCCCTACGTGGCGGCATCTGAACAATGAGAAAGTTTAACATTACTGAATACATGATAACATTCTGACTGATTACTAAGGCACACAAATCTCTTGACGAGTCGCCAAAAGTGGTCGATAATTACTGACGTGAATCCTGAAGAACTCTAGAGTCATCTCGAAAGATACTAAAGTCTAGAGTCATATCTGAATGCCCTGAATTTTAGAGTCATGTCCGAATTCTAAAGTCTGAACCTGATTCGAGCATCTTAACTAAAGTCCTGATCCTTAATTCTGAGCATAGACAAAGTAATATGTTTATAACTGAAAAACTGAATCAGCACTTACCTGTCGTCGGCGGGGCGTGAGCATGACGGTTCAGGTTTTTCTGAAAAATTTACTGACTGAAAAACTTATCAGAGACGCAGAAACGTGCTCTGATACCAATTGTAACACCCCTCCTTATCGTAAAATCAAAGTGCGAAAAATTCGCAAAGTTATTTAAAAATAAAGTCTTTAACTTTGCGAAAACTGATTCGGGGTGCTACCTTAAAATCGTGACTTAATTTGGAAAACCGTTATTTTAATTTTAATAAAATCATCCGGTTACTGAAAGCAAAAGTTCCCAAAAGTTCGTCGAAAGACAAGTTCGTCAAAATATGAGTACGTCAAAAGACATCAAAACATCGTCACAAGTCAACAAAACATCATTAGCGGAAGCATAAGTCATCATAATAAATATACAGTCAAAAAACATAAATGTCCTGAAGCCTCCGTCACGTCACGCTCCCTGCCCGACATCCTGACCTGAAAAACATGATAAAAGTGGGAAATGAGCACTATGGCACTGTGCTCCGTGAAACTCATACTAATGTAAACATTGAAAATAATAACAACATCATGATATCAGTATATACATAACCTCAACCTCAACCTCAAGCCGGTAATAACATGAACATGAATCTAAAATCGTCATGCAAACGTGACCCTGACCGTTACCTCATCTGCCGGCAAAGCCGGACACCATGTGCACACTCTAGTGGGCAGACTAGGGCCACTAGAACCCAGAATGGACCGGCGACCATTCCGAGCGGATACCTCAACTGAATTACATACCTCAAACATGGTACTGTAATTATAATCAATGTAGTACGTAGTCTGAGTCCCCACCTGAACTGCTGAACTGAACGGTAGTGCTGATGCCTGATCAAACTGAAAATAATATAAACAATTACTAATGACTATGCTCAGACTGTTAACTTAACTGATTAATTTCGTTAAGATGCTCTACTTAACCTGACATGATACTTAGATTTAATCCGGAATAACCAGAACTGACTGG